AAATTATAAAACACAAAATAAAAAAAAAAAAAAAAAAAAAAAATTCGTCTACTAATTATCTTTAGAGTACTCTCGTCGATCGTTGCACGCTGATCACACCAAGCTTTCTTGTCTCGAGAGAGAGACTCGCGAGCACGCAGCATGATCGTTCGTCGCGTTTCCACGAGAGTGTTCTCGACCGTGACGTCATCTTACAACTATTCCCTTGTTTTGGGTATTTGTTCCGCTTTTTTTCTTTTTTTTTCTTTTCATAATTTTTTACATTCTTCCTGCAACCAAAAAATTCTATTTCACGGTTACTGTGCGTTGCAATATAAATATATTTATTTATTTATACGTTATTTTGTTTATATTATCATTCATTATCGTGCGTGCGTGAAAGATTAACAAAGTTAATTAAATTTATTCGTAAATTTTGTTCTTATTTAATTTTAAAATTTGAATAACAATCCGACGTTGGACAACGATTTTCATTTTACTTATAATTTTCAATTAGATTCGTTCGATTAATCGGAATGAATGAATGAATGAATGAATGAATGAATGAGATCGATCGGTCGAGAACGAGAGGATGGGACAAACCCCTGTCCTGTCTCTCGTGCAAAAATTAGTAATCTTTGCACGGTTTTTTGTTTTCCTTTTTTTCTTTTCAAAATTTGCATGTACCCCTAAGTACGTACCTACCTGTGATAGTAAAATTTCTATTATTTCTATTCCTATCAAAAAAAAATTCCACTCTTTAATAATTACTTTATCCAAAAGAAATACCCTCCCTTTTTTCACCGAGAAAATTCCCAACACATCCCTCCGCCCCTCCCTCTTTCCCCCTCTCAAACCTTCGCACACTTCGACACATTATTTATTGTCTTATTGATGGTAACAAGCGAATGATGGGTTTTAAACAGGGGTTCTCCGTTCACGATTTTTTTTCTTCTTCTTCCCCCACCCCCACACCCCCATATCTTTTTTGTATCTCGTTTATGGTCGTTTGCAGCGCACGAAGGAGGACGAATACACATTACTTGTACACGTATTTTACTTACACACAAGCACACGGACTGCATCTTGAATAAGTTTTTTCTTTGTCTCTATTATTTTCTTTCTTCCTTGAATTTTTTTTTTAATAATTATTTTCTTTTCTTTTCTTTTCTTTTTCCTTGTTTTTTTTTATTTATTTAAGTTATCTTTCTATACGACTTTTTTGTTGTTTACACTCGAGAGCCTTTTTTGCACCCTCCTCTGATTTGCATTCGAGATTTGATAGAAGCACTAAAAGTTTTCTTTTTTTATCTATCTTTCTATCTATCTCTCTCTCTCTATCTCTCTCTCTATCTCTCTCTCTCTCTCTTTCTCTCTCTTTCTCTCTCTATCTCTATCTCTGTTGATAAGCTCGCGCAACGATTCTGGCAAGTTGAAACATTTTTTATTTTGAAATTCATGAAATATTTATAATGAAAATTATCTTGTAATTTGTTTGTAACTTTTGGATAATAATATTCATATTGATTTTCGTCATAGTTATCATAGCAAAATTGCCAGAATCGAAGAATGAGCGTAGTGAGAATTTTAGAGATCTGTTTTATGGTCTCGAGAAACATATTATGGAAATTCATTGTTTTGTCCCCTCCACCCCCTCTCGAATGTCAGAGCATGATTGTCATTTACGATTATTGTATTGTGATCGTTTTATTTTTGGAACGTGTCCTATTTTGATTGACGAATAATAAAAATGTTGAGAATTTTGATTGGAACGGAACGGCACACGCTACTATAAGGACGTTCAGCAAAGGAAAAATTATAATGGGGAATACGGATGATTAAATATCGATCGTGTCGATCTTTAATAAACCCCTTGTGATCCACGGCGGAACGAAGTGGTATTGTTTAGATAAACAATGAATTGCATACTATGTTGGACGAGTACCATTCATTATTCTCTCTCGTCTTTTCCAAGAAACGAAGAATTTTGCGAACAATTTTCTATTCCATATTCTATTTTATTGTTTTGCTTTTTTGTTTTGTTATTCGTATAGTAATAATCATGCGTGGTTAAGAAATTTAATCCAAAAAAAAAAGAAAAATTATTGTTTTTTAGAAAAGAAAAACAACAAAAAATGAAAAAAACGTAGTTCGAACGATTCTCTTCGTCTCTTGCAAAAAAAGAAGATGAAAGTTGTTAAAAAAGAAAAAAAGATAATAAAATGATATATAAAAGAGAGACACAGGCGCACACACGACCAATTAACACAGCCCACGCAAAATCACATACACAAAACCACCCAATCACCCACCCACCTACTCACATGTACACACACACACACACACATATACAAATACACGAGTGCACAAAAGAAAGAAAGAAAAAGAAAAAGAAAAAAAAAAACAGAAAAAAAGGAAAGTCGGAGTATATAGATAGAGGTTCCTTCCTTCCGCCGTGGTTCTAACCCGAGAACGAACGAAACTCTCCGCAGGACGGGCAGCTATGCTGCAGCTACGATTACGGCTGCGCTGGCGATCTGGGTTACGAGCAGCAACAGCAACAGCAACGTCCTACAATCGGTGTTCCTGAGTCTCTCGTACAGCCTCTATCGGACTCTACGAGGTGGTCATTGGTCGAGGGTACACAGGAAGCAGTTGTATCAGCGGTCACCACCAGGGTCTATCACCAACACCAACAGCAGCAGCACCAACAGCAACAACAGCAGCTCGTGTCGATTGCATCATCATCTTCCACCGTCGCCACCCCCCATTCTTCATCATCCTCGTCATCGGGAAGTAATTCATCATCGGGCCCAGGTAGAAAGGTTTACCTCGGCAGTTCCAACAGGCAGCAACAACAACAACAACAACAACAACGACTCGTCCAGTCGCGAAACAATCGTCGTTCCCGATTTTTCGAAGAACAACAGCAGCAGCAGCAGCAACAGCAACAGCAGCAGCAACAATTGCAACAACAACAACAACGAGCAACAACGACGATAAGAGGTGAACAGAGCATCGGTGGAACAACGGTGTCGGTGTCGCGTGGTTCGACTTCGATCTCAACCTCAACGACAACGATGCCAGCTACGAAGAACGTTTCTAACAAGAACCGAGACGATTTCGATCACGACTGTGCTAAAACGACTCGCCACCGAACGGCATCAACCTCCTCCTCCCCCTCCTCCTCCTCCTCCTCCTCTTCCTCCTCTTCCTCATCATCATCATCATCAACCTCCTCTACCCCGGTCTCTTCGTCATTATCCTCGAGCTCGTATTCCAGCAGCTCATCCACATCCTCAGACTCTTCTTCCAGCAATACGACTGCAATAGCAACAGCAACAGCAGAATCATCATCAACTGTCACCCTTCTCGTCCCATCCTCCTTGTCAACGATCGACGAGTTTTCAACGTATCCCACGAAAACGTCAAATTCGATTAAAAAATCAAACGAAGAAGGTGTTGACAGTGTCGCTACTGATCATCCAGGTGCTCGTAAGGTTACTACTACTACTACTACTACTACTACTACTACCGGTAACGTTGTTTCTTCTTCTTCTTCTTCTTCTTCTCGTGATCGTCGATCATCATCCTCGTTAACACCATCGGTTGGACGCCGTCACAAATACGACAAGGACGAGTCATTTTTACGCGGTAACCCAACTTGAACGAGCCCAATCTCGGGGAAGTTAGAAAAGATGAGAGAGATATGTATATATATATATATTATATTAATATATATAAATATATATATATATGATTGCGTCGAGATGTTCGGTAAGGCATTCCACGGGACGTACAAACAAAAAAAAGAAAAAAAAGGATTTCTTTGAACAAAATATGGGAAGGGAAAAGATGGAGATCGTAGAACCGAAATGTTTGTTACAAGCCACGACGACGATTATCAAAAAGAAAGAACGAGATAGAAACAATGACAAAGACAGAGACATAGCAGAAGCCAATGGGAAAGAAAGAAAACGAAGAAACCGAAAAAATGTCCGAACATAATGGAAATATAAAAGGAAACTTTTCGTAACCTTCTAAATGGCCAGGATAGAAATCCGAGGAGTCGTGAGGTTGCCTTAGTGCTTCCCGAATTCGCAGATTCCTACTTTTTTTTTCCAGGATCGATTCGAGTTCGCTGGCTTTCTCCCTCCTTTATTTCTAATCCAAATAAACCCCAGCCTCACCCCCACAACCCTCGCCCTACGACCCTCCTACACCTAGACTTTCGAAGAAAAGAACAAAATGTAATTATTTTTTGTTCTTCTGCTTTCCGATGATCGATTGCGTTAACGTGGATCGAGCAGAAGCATTTAGCCGAGCTTTCGATGAGCTTTTGATATATATATCATGACATTTCGATTAAGATTCGCTTATCGCAAAGTTTTCAAATGATCGATAAGCGAATCTTAATACGAATCGTTAAAAATCGTTTATATGTATTAAATGATATCTACGATATAATCGTCGTATACGATTTAACGAGGAACGAGTTATGTATAAAATGAACAAAAACAACAAGAACAACAAGAACAAGAACAACACACTTTCGTCTTATTTCGGCGTAATTTTCATCGACACTGGTAGCGCACAATATTTGGGCCTTATAAGAGTATAAAAATTCAATGTTTCCGCTGATTCTACGACTCCTAAAGTGATACGAGGAAGAAGAAAATGAGAGAGAGAAAGAGAGAGAGAGAGAGTTAAGAAAATAATATACTCAAATACAAATATACATACATACGAACTTACATGTATACATATATACATACAAACGTAAAAGATAATTTCCTTTCTCCTTTGAGCCGTTAGAAAATGAGAGTAAGCGGTAATATACAAAGTGATCCAATCAAATCTATCCACCCTTAATCTGTTCAACATTTTTCGAATAAATTGAAATTTCAATACGATTGAATAAAACAAACTAAGAGAGTGCATACATTTTATTGGTTCACTATGTATAATATATATATATGATATATATTTGTGTATCATAAGGAAACATAATTCGCGAGGATGATAGAAAAAATGTTCTAGAAATAATAAGAGGACGTTTAAGAAACAAACCCCCTTCCCACCATACCCCGAGCGTGTATTACAATTGCATATTTATAGAGACGCGTAAATTGCAAACAACAACAACAACAAAAATATATATATATATATATATACATATGTGTATGTATGTGTGTGTGTGTGTATGTGTATATTCGACGATATAAAAGAAAAAAAGAGGAAAAGGAGATACGAGTATGAAACTTATTCGATGTTGAATATATATCCTTTAATTATTATTCCCGATCATTGTGTGTCGGATCGAGAATTTCAAGATGGACGGTAATAAACGAGAGTATATTAACTCGAAATATAGAAATAATATACATACACGCAAAATAAAAGATATCTCTCTGGAATATATATATATATATATATATATCCATTTTATGGATGATGATGATGATGAGGATGATGATGAGGATGAGGATGATGATTATGATCGTTATAATGATTATATCATATCTCGTGACAATATACATTTATTTACGACACGCTAAATAACCGAGGAGAAAGAAGAGGAAAAGGAGGAGGAAGAAGAAGGAAGAAGAAAAACAAAATGAAACGAAATGAAAATGATGATAAGATAAAGGGGGGAAAAAAAAGAAAGAGAAAGAAAAAAACAATTAACGAGATAATTGAATCTCGTGTATGTAATCGTTTGAGATACGCGTGCTTGCGATTACAATTATATTTCATATAGATATACGCTTTCAACAATGAAAATAATTATTAAATAATTGATAAGAGTGGATAGAGGGGGGGGGGGAAGGGGGGAAACGAGAGGAGAGTCAAAAAATGTTCCCCTGCAACGCCTCACCTCCGCCAACACCCACACACACACACACACACACACACACACACATACACAGAGACAAAAGTGAAAGAAAAAGAAATAATTAAGTATAATTAATTAAAATGAAAGAAAATAAACGAAATCGACGATGTTTTTTCGTGCGACGGGGGGGGGGGGGGTAGTGGGGAGCATTATATTATAATAATGAATTATTATTCTGTTTAAATGTATGGTGTCGGTATCGTTTTAAACGCGACGACCAAACAAAGAATAAATTAACAAAATGAGATATGAGACGAATGAATTAACGCGAATTCAAGGCTTATGCTCGATCCACCCACGTCTTTGAAAATTTTACCAACAGACATACACACACATACAAACACAATCAATTAAACACGGCGAAGTGAAAAGTCGTCAGAAAGTCGAAGACATCGTCTTCTCTCTTCTTCGTTTCATTTAAATAACAAAAAAAAAAACAAGGAAAATTTATTGTTTGTATTTTCGTGATTGCCTAATCGTTACGTAGGACTTAATCGAGGCCTAAACACGCAAACCACGCGAATAATTTTAAAATGAAATAATAATCCACGATATACAACGATACTTACAAACATATATATATATATATATAAAGAGAAAAAAAAAAGAACAAGAAAATGGCCTAGCAAATAGAAGATAGAAGAAAAAGGAAAAAAAAAGAAACATTTTATTAACGAGAACAAACTTTTCTCTTCGCCGATCGGAAAGTTCTTCTCTTCCTCCCTTTCCCCCTCCCCCAATTCCATTTTCCCCGTTCTCGACGATGCCCTTCGGACACCTCCACCCTTCCCATCTGATCCCTACCAACAACCCTCTTCTGCCGTTAAAAGAGAGTTAAGTAATTAATGAATGAATAATAATAATATTAATAATAATATTAATAATAATATTAATAATAATTATAATATAATAATAATAATAATAATAATAATAAATAAATAAATAATAATAATAATTGTCAACGTGTGACACACCAGACGATGAATGAACGTGCCGGCTCGTTCGATGATCGATATTCTGTTTTATCTTCGCTCGACCCAACACGACCACTAAGAAACAACATTCCTTCTTGACTTTAAACGATAAGTAGGCACTAATGAAAGAAACATATATAAATATATATATATATATATATAAATTTAACGAAGAATTAAAGAATAATAATAATAATAATAATAATAATAATAATAAACNCACGCACGTAATCGCGAGGGGGTTGCTTGAGATAGGTGCTTTCAAACAAGGGGTTGATACTCCTTTCTCAAGAGTAAAAATTAGATATACGCATACACACGTGTATGGTGGTGATGGTGGTGGTGGGGGTTACTTGGGGAAATATGCGTTGTTTTAGCCAAAGAATATATATATATATATATATATGTATTTTCTCCAGGGTAAAAGTTTAATATACATACACATACACGCATACACACACATGGAGACATTACCGTAATTAATAAAAAGAATTTAATAAGAATATATATATATATATATATGTATACATACACATACACGCATACATACACATGGAGACATTACCGTAATTAATAAAAAGAATTTAATAAGAATAACAAAATATATAAGAAATAATAAAAACACACGAGGATATTTAACGACGCGTATGCTCGCGTGAAGTTTATTTCAATAAATATTTGTTAATATATATATATATTGCAAAAGTAACGTTAGAAATGTTTATTAATCGTGCAATAATATTTTATTGTATTATCATTTATTTGTTAATGAATTCTTTTGCGTTATAATCACACACATGATTGGGAATAATTTATTGAAGATTAAAAAGTACCGCAAAAGAAAAAAGATTGTTATTTTTAATTAATCTTTTTTCCTTTCCATTATAAACAAACACACACATACACACACACACACACACACACACACACACACAATAAACGTGACTTTTGCGATAAGGAAAATAATTTCACGCGAGCAAAAAAAAACATTTTCGATGGGATCGATATAAAAAAATATATCGATTCCCTTCGCCTCTCTCGATTGAAACAAAGAATAATTGAACGAATCAAATTTACATATTGTGTGATTGAAAATAAAGTTAAACGACAACATGATCGAGCAACTCACTCTATCGTAAGAATAATAAATAAGAAAAAGAAATGGAAATTGCTTTTCAGCTAATGAATGAACTCTAAAATCGTGCTCTCTTGCGCCTTAAGCACTTCGTACATATATAAGTACGTACGTACATACAATACTAATACAATACATACATGCATACATATATAGCCTCGGGCGAGCCGATCTTTCAAAAAAAAAAGAGAGAGAGAGAGAATGGGAGAGAAAATAAACGATAAATTAAAAATAAACAGAAAACACACAGGTAAGAATAAAAAAAAAGCAAGTATGAAATGAAACGAAATGAAATGAAATGAAATGAAATGAAATGAAATAAAATAAAACATTAAATATAAACGATAACGATTATTAATAACGCTGTTGCTCTGATTGTATATAGTCTTGTAATGTTATAGTATCATATTAGGAAAACATATGTATGTATTATTATTAATTAATTAATGAATTAATTATTATTAATTCTTATTATCTTTATAATTAATTATATTATTGTCAATCATTACCATTTTCACAATCGTCATCGATCATCATCGAAGAAACATTTTAATATCGTAATTAAACTTAAACAAGAAAAGAAAAAGAAACAAAGAAAAACAATAAATCGTATAATTCAAGATTGTCGCAAAAAAGAAAAAAAAAAGAAAGAAAAGTATTCGTTGAGGTAAAGAATGTGTGTGATGTTCAACGAAAGATATATATAAAAAAAAAAGAGAAAGAAAACAAAAAAAAAAAGAAAAGGAAAGGAATAAAACAAACAATATTTTTTTTTTTTTTCTTTTTTTTTTTTTTTTTTTTTTTTTACATTAAATCAATCCTTCGTCGAGAGAATTAAACGAAGGGAATGTTATTATTAATCGCGAAATTTAAGCGTGAATGAAACGTGCATATCTGCCTTGCGTGTAACACGTATGAATGTTTTTGTGTGAAACCCTCGTACGAATTTACCTATAACGTTTCTGTGCGTGCGGTTGCGGGTGCGTATGTGTGTGCATGCCGTTGTGTATGATGGATATGTTTCTTTGATCGCGTATATATCGCACGTAAAAAATAAAAAACAAATAAGAAAATTAATAATAAAATATAAAATATATAGAATATAATAAAACAATTAAATTATAAACAGATGATACATATGGCATACTCGTATTATTCGATATATTATCGTGTAAGTATTATAAAAAAAAAAAAAAATAAAGTTTATTTAATGAGAAGAAGAAAATAAAGATAGAGAGAAGACCGGAAAAAACAACTACAGGAATTACAGGAAAAGAAAAAAAGAAAATGAAATAGAAAAACGAAGGGCCCCAAGTACCGACGAATTTTCTTTTTTCTTTCTTATTTCATACGGGGGGAAAAAAAGGAAGCCCATATAAAAAATTAAAATAGAAAGATGGTGGACGAAACGGGAAAGAAAGATCATTTTGTCGTTATTTGATTATTACTTTTTATGCGTGTAACCGAGCGTTGTTCAGAGGTAGGTAGATTAGATAAATAAATAAAATAGGAAGGATCTAGGGGAGATGGGGAAAGGGTTGGAGGGTGGTAGATCAAACAAAATTTCATCGAAGTTCATTTTTCAATCGCGACGAGATTGGTCAGCCGAAATATGACAAAAAAAAAAAAAGAAATAAAACAAAAAAAAAATGCAAATCCTCGTAATCCGTTAGTAGTTAAGTATTTAAAAAAAATATGTGTCTGTCGATGGGTATCAAAGAATTCAGGTGGCTTATCTCGTAGCGTTATCTAATCTTTAACGAATGCAATAGGTGCGTATTTAATACGAGAGTTCATTAATTGTTAATTAATATTTACCGAATAAGAGTGAGAGAGAGAGAGAGAAATGTTACGAGTGAGTTACAAGTATACATTAGAATTACTACAACACAAAAAAATCATCTTAAGTAAATAATACTAGCGATGCCTACAATTATTATACACCAAGGAATACTATAAACTATTACTAATAATTACTATTATTATTATTATTATTATTATGATTATGATTATGATTATTACTATTACCAAGAAAATATATTAATTAATAACAAATGACTACTTACAACGATTAAATGATAAAAACAGTAAGAACGAGTTTACGTTAAATTCTTACGAGTTTAAATGACAAGATAAAAAAATGAAAATGAGTTGACTAGTTACAGTTTCATAATTCCGAACTAAACTATCGTTATGCTATCGTTACACTGTTTATTACCAATATGACTATTAATCTCTTAAATATAAATTACATTAACAATATATAAGTATTATCTACCTATCGGCACTACTACTTAGAAGCCCAAATTAATTGAGCCCATATTTGACTTAACAGACGAAAGACTATAGATGACATGATTATTTTGATACAAACTTTTATTTCATTCTAACCGTTTCGTCCTAAATCTTTATACGTCCCGACTAAAAAGAGATTCCTAGTTTTTTTTTTCTTTTTTTTATTTATTTATTTTTTTAGTTTCATCGAAACGTTTATAAAAGGATAAAAAACGTTGATTAAATATTATACGGGATGTCTGAAACTTAGAGAATAAAAAAACTGCTCTTGAGTTTCTTGAATTACATGTATAAAAAAAATAAAAAAGACACACCCAGTTTATGCGAAAAAAATAGAAGACAACGTGTTCTAAAATTAACACATATATAGTGAGATCTAATAATAATTATATTTTATTTTCATTCTATTTATATAGATGCAAAAACGATTCGTCATATATTAGAAGAACAAATAAAAAGAGACAAAAATGAAAGAAAAAATGAAAGAGAAAGAGAGAAAGAGAGAGAGAAAAAAAACCATAAACTAGTATCGCGTCCAACACTGCCGTTTTTTGCAGTATTCCCCATATATATATATATATATCGCGAACGAGAATTAAAAGCAATACAAAGTTTTTCTCCTAGCGTAATACTTGCAATTAGATATTAGATATTAGAATGGAATTTTTTCCATGTAATCCGATGAGAATAAAAAAAACTATAAATAAATAAATAAAATAAAATGGAAAACCCATAAAAAAAGGGAGAACAAAAAAGATTTGTTGACAAAAACTAGCGTGAACGAAAAGAAAAAAAAAGAAATAAAAAATGTCTCATAGATTTTTTTGGAAAAGGAAAGGTTCATTAATTTTCCTGTCTTCTCTCTTCTTTCCATATGGGGTTGGAATTGATTTCGAATGAATAATACAAAATAAACGTGAAAAAAGGAGAGGGGTTTCGAGGTGAGGGAGAGGGGAGGAAGAACAAGGATTCAGTTTTTGTTTGTCTAGTCAGCTTGTAAAAAATAAGGAAACTTTTTGCATTGTCGATTTAGTTATTTTTACGACACTCTGTGAAGTAAGTAATTAAATGATTTTTTTCAAGAATGAGAGAGAAAGAAAGAGAAAGAGAGAGAGAGAGAGAGAGAGAGAGAGAGAGAGAGAGAGTGCATATGTGCGATCGTATACGAGAAAGATAAAGTATGCGTCAACTTTGAATGGGTGTTTGTTTTTGTGTGTGTGTGTGTGTGTGTGTGTGTGAGAAGGCAGAAACGATTTTTGCACGATTGCGATTATCTCGATTAAATATATATATATTCTTAATTATTTACTAATTAATAATATATTAGTTGTGTACGTAATAAGAATGATAATTTTTAATTATATTATCATTGATTAACGAATATTATTGCCATTATTCTTTTTCTTTTTTTACGATGATGATGATGAGATGATTTTTATTATTATTATTATTATTATTATTAAGATTATAATTATTATATATCTAATTTTTGTTTTTTTTTTTTTTATTCTTTTTCTCTTCTTCTTTTTCTTCTTATTATTATTATTACTATTGTAATTATTATCATTTATCAGTTATAATCGCTACAGCCATATAATACCTTTGTAAATGAGAATCAAGACACAGACGGCTAGGAAAAAAACTTAATAAATTGAAATTCTATTAACCCAAACGCGTTAGATGATCATTGACAATTCCTGAGACAATAAATTTTTAATTATGTAAGGTATATACATATATGATTCATTCGTTCGCATTTTACCATTAATGTTTCTCGTTTAAATGGCTAGGTTATTTCTTTTTTAAACGTACTAATTAAAAGTTATGAGTATTTCATATACAAAATGATAAAATACTCTGTTATCTTTTTTATCTATTATTAGAATTTTCAAAAAGAATAAATGTACCGAAGATAACGTAAGACTCATACAGTTCAACGTACAGACATAACAAAAAAAAGAAAGAAAATCTGATTATTCGGTTAACTATTTTTAGTTGCATGAATAAAGAAAATAATAAATTTTCTTAAGAAATGAGATATTTCCTTAACGATAAAAATTTTTCATGAATCATTTTTCCTGTATGAATTGGATTTTGTTAAACCGCACAAAATGGATTAGATTATTATGTGTTGTAGTATTTCGTGACAAATTCGTAATTATTTTCTCGAAATAAAGGAGAAACCCTTGGAAACAATTTATATTTATTTTGAAACAGAGTATATATTTACATGCGACGTTATTTTACTAAAACATTGGATACAATCATTTCTTGAATTTTTTGTTTTCTACGACAATTGTCGGTTTTATAGAAATGCGCTTTTTTCAAAAGTATTATAATATCATTACGTCGATTGATTTACAAAAGAAGCATGTTAACCCACGGGTCATCCCATTCTACGTTTACGTATTTCCCTTTTGTATTGATACGAGACTCATACTTGGAAAAAAGAAAAAAGAAAAGATAAGGTATATATTTTCTGTCGTAAGGGGGAGATAAGACGTGTGTGATGAAAATGATTACGTCACGATTTATATGACAAAGAACATCAAAAAATTAGAGTTTACATTTTATTATTAATACATTTGTGTAAATGATTTACTCTTGGACTTATAATGTCTTCTTATTATTATTACAAAAATTATTATTACAAAAATTTGTCATGCAAATTAGAACGCGAGAGAATTAAGAAAATAATTATTACGGATCGTATAATAATACGACAAATTCTTAATAAAAAAAAAAGCTAATATTGTAAGTTATTTAACGTGTTATCGTATTGTAACTTTTCGAACAAGAATTGAAATATTTATTTATATCCAAAACAATTAATATCAATTGAACAAACCACGACATATTTGCTATTCTACTTTTCTTTCCTTTTTCTAATTTTATCTGAAAACCTTATAAAAAAAAAGATTTATCCTACTACAAAACTAATCATCATCTCTTATATGTCATATCAATCCCTCGGTACTTTTAATGAATAACCGATTTTACGGAATACGAAAATTATTAATATTATAAGTTCATCCAATGATAATATCACTCCTGTTCGTCATTGCACAATCGGAGGATACGAGTAAAGATTGAGTATCACAGTACGTTCCTGGGGCATGCGCAAAATAACATCTGCTAATAATAAGTGAAAGTATCATCTAACGGCAGTCAGTGATACCAGGTGTCACAGACGCGTTATCATTATTACTTCAAATTGCCACCTAACGTTAATTATACGAATTTATTTAATAACAAATCGAAGGAATAAGTAAATTAGATCGAGATATATATATCTTATACTTAAATATATATATATATATATTATATTTAAGTTTGTATTTATCGATAATGTCTACTACCTACAAAGTTTTTTTTTATCAACTTTCTATATAAATATATTATATAATCAGTTTTTTTGTTATCATAAATATTATAAATATTCAAATTAATAAGAGAAAAATAATATTTGGAAATGAGAGGTTAGTTCTGACGTTGAAAATTGTAACAAGGACGATGACAAGTGGTAAAGGGAGGAGGATTCGGTGGGGGTAGGGGGAACTGCAGGAGGGTATAGAAAAGGACCGACAGATTTCTCGCAGTACAAGTATCTTCGCGTAACCGTCTACACGCATAAATTTATTACAGTGTTCAACATTTTCTATTATTCATTTTATAATTGATTTACTTGTGAATCGATAATTCTACAACGACGATAACAACTAATTAAGCGAAGTTTACGCGTGCGCTATTTAACAATAGTGTATAACACGCATACTACCGGGATTTATATATTTATTTCTGTTCGTTATTTTCTTTTGTTTTGTTTTTTTCTTTTATTTTCTTTTCGATAAGGAACAACGAAAGAATTCGAAGATCAAAGTTTTTTCGGTTTTGCACTCTCACTCTCAACTTCTCTCTCTCTCTATCTCTTTTTTGTGCTTCATTTTAAACTTTTTTATTTTATTTTTATACATTTATTTTCGGGGTTGAGGGTTTTTCTTTTACTTAATTACAAATCTTCGAATAAATACGTTTACCATCATGCCAAAAACAACGATGGATCTGAGTACCGCGAGCAAGGACGAACTTGTGACATTTCTCGATTCATTCGATGTCATCTTTTCGGATTGCGATGGTAATGTGTGAAATTATTTTCTTCAATTTTTATCTTTTGTTTATTTGTAATATTTTATTTATAATAATTTTTGTCTCGTTAATCGTGATTTATAGGTGTTTTATGGCACGTCGATGCGCCCATGGATAATACCATCGAAACTTTGAACAAATTACAAAGTTTAAAGAAAAAGGTTTTCTTCGTAACTAATAATACTGCGTCCGGTACTAAAAATATTTGCGATAAACTTCGTCGAAATGGTTTCGAAGCTACCGAGGTCAGTTATTATTCATAATTATTATTATTATTATTATTGTTTTTGTTTTGTAATCGTTTACATTTTCTATTTTTAATTTTATTCGTTTTTAAATAAAATACACTAATTGAAAAGATTTATCAATACGCGAGGTCAAATATTTATTTGATATTTCAATCGTCAAGATAATAAACATTAGCAATAAGCATTGAATTAATTGCCTTGATTTTTTTAAACGCCTTGCCGTTGAATTAATTTGATTCACGTCAGATTGTTAACTAGATGAGTGAATTGTTCGATAAAAAAAAAGAAAAAAAAAGGTACGTGTTGTTTACTCTTATTAGAGGATACAAAGATACGATCTCTTCGGTAGCATTGAATAAATGTAAGTAAAGGGAAAGTAAAACGACACAATAGTTAAAATTTACATTTGAATGAGTATGTCTCGTACCAAAAATTTTAAAAGTAAAATATACGTTTCGTAAATTTTGGGAACAAGATAATGTTATCATAAATTCAATATTTTTTTGGATCGCAGATAATAAACTTTAAAACGAAGACAAATATTTGGTGGCATTGCTGCAAGTTTAACATTAAATAATTCATTTCCAGGACCAAGTGATCACGTTATCAAAAGTTATTATCTGGTATCTGAAGAAAATCAATTTTCAAGGCCAAGCTTATACGATCGGTTCTAATACATTTCGAAATGATCTTTTGGATGCCGGTATAGAATTGTTGGATGAAAATGTAAGTTGTCGATAATTATTTTGTATTACGATTCATGATTAAACGATAATTCAATTGTTCGAATTATTCAGATACCGAAAGTTTATCCTAACGATGTATTGGCAACCGTAAATGAACTCTCGGATAGAAAATCTGTGAAAGCAGTGATCGCTGATTTCAATGCTAATTGCAACTGGGCTCATTTGAATTTGGCTATAGCGTGTTTGAGACGTGCCGATGTACTTTACATCACCGGTGCTATTGACAAATGGGTCTTTCTCAAAAATGGTACCACGATATTAGGTAAAATATATCCAACACACAATTAACAAATTATTTTAATAGAGTTTAATTGTTTTCAATGAAAATATAGACTCCCCCGGTAAAGACATTTGTAACAATTTGCAGGACCAGGTCCACTGATCGACATCATAACCGAGAATAGCGGCAGAAAACCAATCACTGTTGGAAAACCAAGTGAAATCTTGCGAAATTATATTTTTGAATTTTGCGACATTACCAAACCGCAAAGGTGTTTGTTCATTGGCGATTCGTAAGTTCTTTTCAGATTTTTCTAACATTTTTCTTTATTTTTGTTGTTATTATCTTTTAGCATTAAAACACTTATCTTATTCGTATCTCTTTTTCAGGATAAATCAGGACATGAAATTTGCTACCATGTGCGATTTTCAAAAGTTATTCGTCAGTAGTGGTGTTGATAGTTTTGCCGATTCGCAAAATCTTATACAAGAACTTCCCGAATATTATATACCTAATCTTGCCAACCTGCTTAGCATCCTGAACAATTTGAATTAAGATATTAGAAGAATGATTAATATATGAAAAATAATAATTATATTGAAATAGAGAAGATTTTATCTTTTTAAATTATACATGATTAGTAATATTGAAATCATTATAAAGCAATGTAATTAATATTGATTATGCGAAGCCTGCTATACCAAAACTTTACTATAATTTACGAATAGCTATGACGAATCATTTCATTTGTCAGAAATAATTGATTAGTTCGAAAGTATACATAGTTTTTTTTTTTCTTTTTGGACAGAAAAATCTAGGAACCTTTTCAGGATCCCAAGAATTCTGTTAATCTTAATCGAATCGTCTATTTAAAAATATCGATTTGAAAGATACACCCCGGTCATTTAAAATAATTTTATTAGAAACAAAATTTTATTTTACTTTTGCGTTAAAATACGAAACAAATTTCGACTCGAGTCATTATTACTGAAAACACGTGCATCATAATAAATTGTGTCTTCGCTAATCAGTTATTCGTTTATATTTTGTTGTTATCAAGTTTGTTGTTGATAAGTGCAAATCGGATAATTAGAAATCGGATACTTCGATGAAAGTAGCGTTGGAGCTTTTGCACGAACAACTTATATATGAATTGTTAGTAATGAAACTATATATAGTTATATATAAATATTCGTCTTCCAAATATTGTAGGCAAATAAGTAAGAAGAAGCTTTATATCATAGAACAATGATTTCATAAATAATTTGTCACAAACTATTTAAATGACAATATATGATAATACACAGACACACATATCGTGTAATACCGTGAAAACGGATTTATAATAATATTAGATATTTTGAAAGATCTGTTTTTGGACGGATGTATGTTTCGAGTTTATATTTACGAGTTAACATGTTGTTATATATGAAATGATGTCATGCAATATACCCATACATCCATTTTATCAAAGATACCATTATAACAATCGAGATACAGATATTGTTATATCGTTTATCAAATTTATATTCTGGTATTAATCTCAAATAGAATAAATATTAAAGTTATTATTAAAAACACGTTGACTTATATTATTTATTCGAAATTAAATAAAATAAATTAAATATATCACTGTATATTAAACCTAAATCATTTGCGATACATTTTAACATTTGTTAATCCTCATAAACAACGGATTTAGAAATTTTTCGTTATATTATATATACACACCATAATCGTCGTTTAACGATAATTAACACGATTAAATTAAAACACTTATGGTTAGCATTTATTTTGTTATCATACGAATGAAAAATCAATTATCGTCTCTTAGAATAGAATCTTTATAGAAGAAATAAAAATAGAATTAGAAGAGGAGTGTGGGTAGAGAAAAAAAAAAAAATGCTCATCTTCTATTTATCTTCTTATGTTAAACTGAATCAACGTACATGTATTTTTCTCTCATGTCAGTGTACGAGGAAACTTCGAGAGCGCAAGATCGTTTATTCCTCTCCTCTCGTTCGTTTCTCTTCGTTTCTCCTCGTTATTTTTCGCTACGAGAATATTCACAATAGTATTGGTAGATTTTAATATCGATAGTAGTAGTAGGTAGTAGTAGTAGGTCGTAGTAGTAGTAAGTTGTCATGTAATTTTCGCTAGATGAACTACTGATGAAATTATTTGAACCGGATTTTGTTAAAAGATAACCCATAATATCTGCACATATGTGCTATTGCATAATCTTGAACGGTTGGTTTTGTGTACGCGAATTCGTATCCGCGAGTGTACGTCGTCGAAAAACAATAATTACAAATTATTTGATTATTTTAATTTTATATTACTGAGAACAAAGAACAAAATTTCGCAGGACAATTTTTTCCAAGATGTTCGGATCGGTGAGTCTTATTGTTAATTTAATTATTGTGTTTTAATATTTCAAAACAATCTTTTTAAAAAAGATAATACGATTTTTTTGGTTGTTGTCAATTAAGTACAATAATTCTTGGACGAAAAATAAATAAATAAAACAACGTGCGGGTGTAATACTGAAAATTATTCGTCAAAATAAAATTTGATTCACTCCTTGCAATATTGTAATTATTTGAAAAAGTTTTATTTGACTATGATTCGATTATACAATAATTTTATGTTAAATCATCCGTTTAATTTCATCCATTTAGTAATCCTCCTGTTTAACAATATTATTAATCATCGTACTGTTCGTGATTACGGATCACTGTTATTTAGATTATGAATCATTTGTCACTTAACGTGAATTAAAGTTTACAAAATCGTTGATAAATATTTCACCTAACGTACAAATCAATTTCGACGAATAATGTTTCGTATCAAGAAAAGAAAAAAAAACAAACACCATATATCATCATCCGTTAAATATTTGTTTTTCCACTTAAAAAAACTTTACACATTCTCAAAGATAGGCGTGTTATTTGAATTGGATATTAGATAAATCCGAAGAATAAATTTCTTTTCATCAGGAGTACAATTCGAGGATCGTGATAACCTGCGGCATTGCGATGTTCCTAGGAATCGTATATTGGAATTTACGTAAAAGTACTTTAGAAAAATCTAAAAGGAAAAAATCCAGTGAGATAATGTCACGAGAAACGAATAATGGTTGTGAACAAAAAACGAATTTACATGGGACGAGTAACGGTTGTGACAAAAAAAACGAGACGAATTTAAACGAAATTAGCAACGGTTGTGATCAAAATCTAGACATTGAAAATAAAAAGAAAAGTGAGATAAGTGTGGTAGAAACAAAGTTAAATATTCCTAAATTGAAATGGGTCAAGGTAGGTCAGGTCGAGGAACTCTATTATTATCCTTTAAAATCAGGACGAGGAAAGACTATAACCGAATGTAAATTTACGGAATTTGGTATATCCTTAGAGGAAAAAGGTTTGCTTACACTTAGAGACAGGTAAGAAGTATATCATAATAATAATTTAATTAACGCGCGAAATAACAATTCAAAATCAATCATTTTAATCTTGTTTATTTAACCCTTTTATTATTAGCAACCCATACACGTGTCATTCCCATTCTAAGGGCTCGTATTAACGACTGACCCACATATTTCAATGAACAAATTTTTATCTAATCATAATTTAATGAAAGATATTATCATTTTCAATATCACTTTAACGTATCGAAAATATAATCCGATAAAATAAATGCGTGCTATGCGGTATCTATGAATCTAGTGCACGTGTCAAAAAAAAAAAAAAAAGAAAAAAAACAAAACAAAAACATAATTTCTAACTCGTGCATATAAATGTCCATTGATTTTATTGTTAAATTTAACGCGTATTATCTTTCGACAGAATGTTTTTGGTGTACAACGAAGAGACATACAAATTTCAAACGGGTAGACAGTATCCAACGATGATTCTAGTCAGTTTATCTGCAGTAGATGAGTACAATGTAAAATTAGAAGCTGTAGGAATGCCTAGTGTCGTCTTTAGAGTACCAGAGAAATCCGAAAAGAGTTCTGCAGCCATTGAATGCTCGTTGTGGTGGGGAGAACCGGTTAAATGTATCGATTGTGGTCCGGAACCTGCTGAATGGTTATCGAGGTAACCATATATTTCAATCAATATATTTTATCAAAAATTTATTGACACTGATTAACAGACTAATTCAATAATATTCATTTCAAAAAGATAAATATCTAAATAGTCATGTTTTTTTTACAATTATGTTTTTAAATACGTCGTTATTGTTTCAATTAACATTTTTAATTATTATTGCAGATTTTTAACCGGCACAAATTCTGGTTTACGTTTAGCCTATTCGTTGTTCAATCGAAGAGAAATTACTAAAGGTCCATGGGAAAGTATAAGTAAAGTTTATAATACTCTTAGAGACGAAGACAGTGTAAGTTGAGAAATAAAAAAAAGAGAGAGAGATTGGATCGTAAATATTATATTTATGATATAAATATTGAATGTTTCTTTTATATGAAAACAGGGCTTGTTCTCAGATACTACAAGTTATATGTTAATGACTTCGAAATCTTTGGATAAACTTAACGAACGATTGGAAACACCTGTTCCAACTTTACAATTTCGTCCTAATATCGTTGTCTCCAACGATGAACCATTTGTTGAAGATAATTGGGAATGGATTAAAATAGGTGATCGTGCAATTATTAGAAACGTTAAACCATGTCCAAGGTACGAAAGATAAAAACAAATATATATTAATCGAATGAACGATTATAAATGAATTTTGTTATCCTAGGTGTAAAATGATCAAACTTGATCCAGAAACCGGTAATGTTGCGAAAGAAGAACCAATGAAGACATTATACTCGTTAGTTAATAAATAAATAAAAAATCATTTGTTTTAATTAATTAAAATTAATATTAATATTATATTGATATCGTTTTTATTTTAGTTTCCGAAAACAAACCGATCCAGAAAGGGTTTCGGTTGATGGAACAGCACCGATAATGGGAATCTATTGTGGATTGTACATCACTGGTCGTGTTAAACTTAAAGACGACGTATTTGTTCATGTACCAGATGATACGGATAATTTGAAAATTTCTAATGGTCAAGAAATCGAGATTTAAAATGTGTTCACACAGCTTGAGATCGATATTTGAAAGCGTGCCTTTCTTCGATAGTAATTTTATTCCACTTATGTGTGGTCGCTTCGTTTAATCCAAATCTTAAATGTGTTCGTCAAAATATATATATACCGGATCAAAAGTTCCTAAATATATTCTAATTGTATAATCGAGAAACTTTTAATTTGTATGAATCTAAAAAAAAAAAAACAAAATAAAAGCGTAATTGATTTTTCAAATCAATTTTGAAACTTTTGGTCCGCACAAATTATCTTCTTAACAATTAAATTTCTTAGAATAATAAAAAAAAAAAAAACAATACAATCGAGTAGACGATAATAACGCGACAATAATCTATAAATAAAAGCTACTATTAGAAAAATAAATAATACAAAATGTTGAAATAATGATAATATAAATTCGTTGAAGCGCACTTGTTGAATCAAAAATAATTTATAGTGGTTGTTATATGTATCATTTTCTTTTTTCTCTTTCTTTTTATATATATATATACATATATGAGAAATTTTTATATAAATGTAGTGAAATGCCAGGCGTTTTTAGGCAATGTATGAAACAGAAGAATTGTTACGAACTTTTTTTAAGCATTGTAACTAATATTTAGGTATTATATAGAATACTAAATGCTATTTAGGCAATGTTGAGAAGGATATATTATCGGACAACAGGCACACACACACACACACACAAATTAATCATAGAGCGCAGTAGAAAACTCATTTTTTTTTAAATAAATTTTTAACACCTTGACTGTTACGCGAATTTTTGTGTAGGGCCACAAAAATTCAAAAAACAAATTTTACTTATCGTACTAGAAAATTATTACATTTAAACTCATAGATAACCACCATGGAAAATATGTATCTTTTGTTCCTTACCATAGCGGAAGATAAGCAAATTTAGAACGAAATATACATGAATTTATTCGATTATGCGTCCAAAGAAAAAGTGTCTCGTTGCAAAAAACAAAAAACAAAAATGATTCGCATTAGATGTACGTAATAACAATTTTTAAATAATAATAGTATTCAATCGAACAAATTTCAAATTATATATCCATAAGATAAAAAAGATGAATTTTATTTGTTAGAATATAATACGAAGATAATAATATAATACGTTGATTAGCGTTAAAATGTTTCCATTTGGTTTCTTCTTGTTGATTGATCTGAATGAACTAATGTAAGTGAGAATGAATAATAAATAAGATTAGAAAGAGACAGAAATCTTTATCACTGAGTCTGAGAATGTGTAATTGCATCGTTTTAATATGATTCAATTCGTCATTCGTTAGATAAGAATTGTATGATATATATGTTCTTATCTCTCTTTCTCTTTCTCTTTCTCTTTCTCTCTCTCTCTCTCTCTCTCTCTAATTTCCTTCTTTTATTTCCCGTCTCTGTTCCACTTTATTTTCTTTCATCATAAGTCCAGTCTACAATCGAGAGTCGCCGGTTATCGTTCAAGATGACCGCAATAATTTCATGGATCTGTTTTTGCGCGTTGCTTTCAGGAATTCGTGCTAGTCAACATTTAAAAAAAGACGGTTAGTACAAATATATATATACATATATGTGTGTGTGTGTGCATTGCTTATACAATTAATTCGTTTCGATGAAAATAATAATTTACTCGACGGTAAATTTTGATTCAGCTAAAACAATAATTTTGTTTCTTATTTTCTATGAATAAAAATTGATTGAAATAATTGAGAAAAATTTATTTGTGTTAATAATGAGAGAATAATTTGAATATTTCATACTTCGTATTATTGTATATTTGTTTTGTCAATTTTATCAGACGAAATGAATAGGATTTCAGAATACATTGGGACACTTGAGACCAAGAACATCGTCAGAGGTTCAAGAAAAAACAGTGAAAGATTTGATTGAAAGATTATTGGGAAAGGATTTAGTTAATTTATTCGATGTTCACGTTGATCCTGATCTCGGTCCATCGGAAAAAGACACTTTTCAGGTATCAATTGTTCATTTGAAACGATTCAAATAACTAATGAATTAGTATAAACATTTGAAATGAATATTTGAATTAATAGATAAAGAAAAATGATCTTGGTGTAATAGAAATTCGTGGTACTTCTGGAGTGACCGTAGCATGGGGTTTGCATTATTATTTAAAAAATTATTGCAACGTTCATATTTCCTGGGATGGAAATCAAATTGAGTTGCCTCGTACTTTACCGGATGTTCGTGTCACAATTACGTCAAATGATAGGTTGCATATTCGAAATATTTGCATAGTCGTTTTAAAGAACAAAATCTAGGACAATTGTTGTTAATTTATGTATTATACAAATTTTCAGATTTAGGTATTATCAGAACGTATGTACGTTGGGTTATAGTTCAGTTTGGTGGCAATGGGATCAATGGGAACAAAATCTCGATTGGATGGCCCTTAATGGGATTAATTTAGCTTTAGCATTTATCGGGCAAGAAGTAATCTGGGAAAGAGTTTATCTCGAATTGAATTTAACCAAAGATGAGATAGACGAGCATTTTGGTGGTCCTGCTTTTTTACCTTGGTAAGAAATTCATTTTTTTTTTTTTTAATTATTGTAAGACATTTCTTCTGTAAAAAAAAAACACTAAACAAAAATAGAAATCATTGAAATGATTTGATTTGAACGAAAGGTCTAGGATGGGTAACATTCGTGGATTTGGTGGACCATTGACTGATCATTGGAATTACAAAAGTTTACGATTACAACATCGTATCCTTCAAAGGATGAGAGGACTCGGAATAATCCCTGTATTACCTGCTTTTGCTGGTCACGTGCCAAGAGCCTTTGCCAAATTATTTCCAAACGCCAAAATGACCAAGATAGATAGCTGGAATAAATTCGAGGACAAATTTTGTTGGTAAAATTGATTAATATAAATTATTACACGCAAAAATATGAATTTTTATAGAAAATAAAAAGAAAATAAAATGTTAATTCGATTAACATTTCGTCAAAATGATGTTCACGATTATATTTTCAGTCCTTACTTATTGGATCCCATGGATGAACTGTTTCAAACTGTTGGTGAAATGTTTTTACGTGCGGTATGTTATATACATTATAAATACAAAAATAATAAATAATATAAATATATCATATTTTTTCTCTCTTTCTAAAACATTTTATAGTACATCGAAGAATTTGGAACGGATCATATATACAATTGCGATACTTTTAATGAAAACGAACCTGGTAGCAGTGAATTAACTTATTTAGGAAATATTTCGAGATCGATATTCTCCGTCATGAATAGCGTAGATCCTCAAGCTATATGGTAACAAAATATATTACAATAAATATTAAAGAAAATAAAAAAAAAAAAAGAAAAGAAACGAGTATATGAAATTTTGGAAAAAAATGTTGTCAAGGTTGATGCAAGGATGGTTGTTCGTTCATGAATTAACTTTCTGGACCGAGCCCAGGGTTAAAACATTTTTAACTTCGGTTCCAATAGTAAGTAAAAACAAAAGGAAACAATTAATAAACAATTAAAAAATTCAATAATGTGTTTTGTAAAGTTTCTTCTAATATTTACTAATTATCAGGGGAAAATGATAGTATTGGATCTACAATCGGAACAATTTCCGCAATACGGAAGATTAAAATCATATTATGGTCAACCATTTATTTGGTGTATGTTGCATAATTTTGGTGGTACTTTGGGAATGTTTGGTTCGGCAGAAATTGTTAATAAAGTAAGTACGAATTAATTGTAATAATATTTAACAATTAACGAGTTAAAAAAGAAAACTATGATGTAGATGATTAATAGAAAAACAGTGTTACACGGAATCTTAAAATTTCACGCAATCTTTTTAAGAACTCCATAAATTTGTCTTCAGACATATTAATATTATTATCATTTGTTTTTGTTTGAAATATATTCAATAAAATATTTCTACAATCATAAGAATTCTGTGAACCGAAAAAGTGTGTATTTAAATATATGTTAATAGCAAGTGTTCGAAGGAAGAAATATGGCAGGTAGTACAATGATAGGAACAGGTCTAACACCAGAAGGCATTAATCAAAATTACGTCATTTACGAATTAATGAATGAAATGGCTTATCGTCGTGATCCCGTTGATCTTGATTTATGGTGAATAAATTATTTTATATCTAACAACGAGACGGTCAATAAAACTTGTTTTCAACAGAATCAATTTTCTCATGGAGTATTACAAGTATGCAAAATTAGAAAAAAATCTGAGGTGGATCTCATTGACCGTATCTTTGTAAATTATATTTAATCAAATATATTTCTATTACGTTCGTTCGAGAGATCATTTAATTTGGAAATGTAAAACAATTTTCAGGTTTGGAAATTACGCTATTCGTAGATACGGTGCATGGAACGAGTATGCTATAAAAGCTTGGAAAAATCTCGGTAAAAGTATTTATAATTTTGTCGGATTACAAAGGATTAGAGGAAAGTACGTTGTTACCAGACGCCCCAGTTTAAAACTTTCCCTATGGGTAAGAAAAAAATCCTCTGTTCATTCAACGAATAAGAACAAAGTTCAATTGATTTTAATTCAATCCTTCGAAGGTATTTATTTCGTTGTTAATAAACCAACGAAATTACTTTGGTTTTTTCTTTTTTTTTGTTTAAGACTTGGTACGATCGTGAGAAATTTTTTAATACTTGGAATACCTTTATGATGGCACGATTTGGAAGATGTAACAGTACATTGTATAAACACGACGTGGTCGATTTAACAAGACAAGCTTTACAATTGATAGCCGATCAAATTTACATTGACGTGATTGATTCGTTCAATCAAAAAAATCTTATAACACTTCGGTAATAATATACAACATTTGTTTGTTTTTTTTGTTTCCATCGTTCTTATCGTTTCAAACTTTAAACGCGTATCGAATTGAAATATTTTATCAATATAAATCAAAAAAAGCAAAATACAATTATTTTGATTATATTTATTCTTATTGTTTAACAATAGATCGCATTCAACATTGATGCTCGAATTATTTGACGATCTCGAAATGATTCTAGCATCGAGTAAAGATTTTTTATTAGGCAATTGGTTAGAAGCAGCAAAAGCAATGGCGGAAATTGGTAATTTAAAGGAAATCAAATTTTACGAATACAATGCCAGAAATCAGATCACTTTGTGGGGACCAAACGGTGAAATAAGAGATTACGCTAACAAACAATGGTCCGGTGTAATCGTCGATTACTTTAAACCACGATGGAAAATTTTTCTCGATGCTCTGGACGATACTCTGTCGAAAAAAATCAAATTCAACGTTACCGAAATCAATGAGAAGATTTTTCGCGAGGTCGAGGAACCCTTTACTAAATCAAACAAAATTTATTCGAATCAACCGAAAGGTTAGTATGTCTTTTTTTTTTTTACAATTATCTTTACCATATCTTCTCTCTTTTTTTTTTTTAGAATATAAAATTATATATGAACGTTTGAAAATTGTATAATAATTGATTGTAAATTTATTGTAAAATATTGGTTCGAACTTTGAGTATTAGAATTCTGTTTCGAATTCTTTTATTTCTAATTTCGTTATGTCTTTTTAATTTAGGTGATTCTATCGAAATTGCAATGGAAATGATATCCAAATGGTATAAACCGAATCAAATGAAAATTCGAGGATTGAGAATATCGTCACGAGTTTGATACGAATTCATCAACTTATATAATTAGAATTGAATTTCGTTGATTATTTAATATATTAGTCAGTAATTATTTTCATTTCTGAATAATCTAACGAGAAATTTTCATGAATAATTTCGTACTCTGTAAATGTGTTATAAAAATTATTAATTTCTAAACAACACAATATGTACGTACCTTTTCTATTGTAAGATAAATCAATTTCGGCAGCAGCTTCCTTGTAATAAAATTTGTACCTAAACAAACTGGATTGAAAAAGAAAAAAAAAAAACAAGAAAAAACTAATTAAACCAACACCTGACTCTCGTAATTATTTCGTTTCTTCATATATTAAGAGATAACAATACAGTACAACGAACGGTCTAATTAAAATTACAAATTTCGATGTAGACAAACGTTGAAATGATAGTTCGAGCAAATAGAAGAATATCAAATCATTTTCATTTAATTTTTACTTAAATATTTTTGAAACAAAAAACCATAATAAATATTTAATTATTCTTTTTTTAACCAAGTATAAATCGTCGAGTATGATAATAAATGAATAACAAAAATACGTACGATTATTAGAAACAAACGGAACAGATATAATAAAAAAGAAAGTGAAATAAAAAAAAAATAATTCACCGTCAAAAGTTATCGTTTTCACGATCGATTAATAACAAATAATTATTATACGATTGTTAATATACAATAATATATGGCAAGTAAAAAAAGAAAAAAAATTCTCCTCTGGAAAGAGAAGAACTAATTAAAATGTATAGTTAAATAAATACAAAAAGAAGTAATAAAAAAATTAATAAAATAATAATAATAATAATAATAGACCGTTTATAACACACACTTGTCGCATTCGTCTAATCGCTCGATGATAACATGGAAATATAATTTTAATTTCATATTTCACACGTACATGCGCAAATCATATACATATGTATATATATATATATATGTATATATATCTCTTACATAATATAATAATATCTTTCTTCTTCTTGGTTTCTTTTTTCTTTTTATTTTTTTTTTTTAACGCGTGTATGTGTGTGTATATATATAATAAGATTTTTGTTTAGAAAGATAGTGCTCATCTAAGTAGAACGTACAAAATATGTTGTGCATTTTATAAGAATAAGACTTCGGAGAACGTTTTCGAAAGAGACATCTACGAATTGAAATGTACATGCTTGTTTAATCGTTTGTATAGAATTTTTTTTTTATTTTTTTTTTTTTTTTTTTTTTTTTTTTTTTCCTTTTTTTTTTTTTTTTTTTTCGTCTGTTCCTCATTACTCTTAAATATCATCGATTGAATAATACCCGTAAGAACGTTTCCACGGAAATAAATATTCACGAACGATCGCTCAAATTACATTTTCTCGTGTGTCACTCGAGATAAAGTTTTTTTTTTTTTTTTTTTTTTTT